GTTCGCGCGACGGTAAAGAACGGGGCGTAGGGGGGGAAAAAATGAAGAAAAAAGCCAAAGGAACGAGAAGAGTGGGGACGCAGGAGCGTGGCGCGGCTTTAAAAATACGTAACGCTAACTTAATTATGACGCACTCGTTTCCTCGGCTTGGGAAACGGCCGGTGGAAAAATGTCCTCGGCTGTCAATTAACGCAAATTAGCTAATTAATGCCCGATCTCGTCGAGTCGCTTCTCTCTTTTCTCTCTCTCCGACGATCGCGACTCGTGGGAAGCGGAGAGGATCGAAAAAGGACTAGCGATACGAGGAACGACGTTTATTTTTTTTTTCGCCCGCGTATCGAAGAACGGGACGAATTAATGGCCGTCTCGTTACGCCATACCGACGATCGTTACGATTCGATAAAATCGAAGCAGCGCTCCGAGGAAAATGACGCAACGGTTTCGAATGGCGATTCTCGTGCGTCCCTCGTTCTCGTTTCCCAGTCATTTCTGTTTTTTTATTATTGCACCGTCGAATTCACGATCAATCCCATCGGGGAATGTTTGGTAAATTTTTGAACACGAACAGTACACTGGTGAATATCGTGAGGTATTTTTTCTAGTAATAAAAATATTTTTCGAGACGAATGTGAGGTTATTGCGCATAGGTGCGCGCGCCACCAGGTCAGAGAAAATTTCCCGAGTGTATCGCTATACGGCGCTGGCTTATCGCTAACCCTCAATTACACGGGGTTATCTCGGGGTAGCTAAAGGGTACGGTGTTTATTCCCGGCGATAGGGACCGATAAAATTGACTAGTTTTAATTCCCATGGAACCCATGAGAATACAACCCAAACTATTGCGTATTTCCTGTGTTTGTTCAAGGTAATACCACGCATTTTTACCCCCGTGATTTATCGCAGGTCGAATGCATCCCGTTTATCGTCGAAACGGTGTCTATTTCCAAATGGGGGGAGTGCTTGGTTACTTTCTGAAAGAAAAGCCAATCCCCCGTCGGAATTTATGCTGGAACAACCGAAACTGTCAACATGGCGGATCTAGATTACTAGCTTGAAGTTTAAAAATATCGACTTTTATTCAAATGAAAATTAAAGTGTTTCCAAATGGGGAATGGTTACTTTCTGAAAGAAAAGGCAATCCTCCATAGAAATTTATACTGGAACAACCGAACCTGTCAAAATGGCGGATTTAAATTACTAGCTCGAAGTTTGAAATATACATATATTTTTTTATATTTAAATTAAAAATCTTTAAGGCGAGTATATCGTTATTACATAAAATTGTATATTTTCTATAACAATCGAGACGTTTTCTACCGAAGTATTTAACGTTGATCTCTGTAAGTCGTGCGACATTTCGATCAGGAATGATCCGTAGCTCGATCAAATTTCTAACGTCGTTCCCGTACAGTGCGCGTTTATGCGAAATAAAAGTAAGAGAAGAAGCTGCAGCTGGTGCATCGTTTGACAGTGCCACGCCTACGTGTATTCGCCGGTGTACACTCGACCACGTAAACGAGGTGTAAAGACTCGAGGATGTTTTGCGTATCCAGGTAAACCGCGCGCACTGGCGTGAAAACCCTTGTTAGTGGACCCACGCTAATTACCAACGGCTCCTCGGGTTTACACACGGATTTAACGCCCCTCTTATTTCAAAGAGGCCGAAATATTATACGAGCCTGTTTTCGAATCTTTGACTGCTTTTATCTGCGTTACTCGCCTCTCGCGGTCTTTCCCATCCTGCGCGACGGCCAGCGAAGTCGTTACACGCCAAACGTGGCAGAAAATACTTTATCACCGAAAATTATATATTTATCCCTTTGTGTCTTATTTTATACGGTTCGAACATATAATCGTCTTCTTTCTCTTTCTTGTTGCAATTTCAATTTTTTTTTATTCAACTCTATACTTTAGATTTTTTAAAACCTACTTCAATGTGCTTAATAACTTCTTTAAGAGATAAATATGGTGCGAGGTAAAAAAATTTGTGAAATTTTAGGGCCATGAATATTTTTTCTAACGGCACCTTTTTCCCATATTTTTATAGAGAAAAGGACGAATTCAATGATGTGTGATATATGTAAATTTCAATTTCGGGAAATTTCATTTTTAAAATTATATGTGTCACCATTTTCAGTTATCATTGTTAAATGATGATTATTATTAATATATACAGGATGTTTGGCCACCCCTGGGAAAAATTTTAATGGGAGATTCTAGAGGCCAAAATAAGACGAAAATCAAGAATACCAATTTGTTGATCGAGACTTCGTTAAAAAGTTATTAACGTTTAAAGTTCCACCCGTACTGAATTTTTTTCTCGAAAATGCGCAAGATTTCGGGTGTATGTCTATTCACCAAAAATGATTGTAATTGACACCCACAACCGAGAATAATTTTTCCAGAACAATTTGAAATTTTTTTTTTTCGCCGGAAAAGCCCCCCCTGTCGATTTTTCCTAAAAATTCGTTTTTCATTTTTAGTAATTTTGATTGACGTTGTACAAAAAAGTTGTTTAATACTTTTTTGTAGGTGTCCATCAGCTCTACTTCAGAAAAAAGTTTCATTGAAATATATTCACTATCGTAGGAGTTATGGCTCTTTGAAAATTGGACCATTTTTATGAAGTTTTTCTCACTTTACGGGGTCAAGGAACAACTTTTTCAATCTTGTTAAAATTTCTAAATATTCCTCACGTAAATACGCGTCAATTGCATTTTGAAACATTAAAATCCTTCAATCCGTTCCGGAGTTATGACATTTTAAAAATTCCCATGAAATTTCGGGGAAGCATTTTTGGGCAGAAACTATATTTTCGGTAAGGAATTTTTTTCTCGAAAGCGCGTAGAATTTCGGGGGTACGTGTAATGACCAAAAAAGATTGTAATTAACCCTCGCAACTGAGAATAACTTTTTTAGAACGATTTGAAAAATTTTTTTTTCGCCCGAAAATTTCAATACCTACCCGATTTTTTTTCTCGAAAGTGGATAGGATTTCGAAGGTATGTCTATTCACCAAAAATGATTATAATTGACCCCCGCAACCGAAAATAATTTTTCCAGAACGATTCGAAATTGTTGAATTTAATTGTTAATAACTTTTTAACGAAGCCTCCATCAACAAACTGTTATTCTTGATTTTCGGCTTATTTCAGTCTCTAGAATCTCCCATTAAAATTTTTCTCAGTAATGGTCGAACACCCCGTATATTTAATTTAAGATCAATTTAAATTAATAAATTTTTAATCATGATCCTATAATTTATTCAACGATATATCGTTACATCTGTGTTACGTATCAGGATAGAGGAATCTTGTCTCGAATTAGAAATACTATTATTGTGTATCGAGCGTAACGATGTTTCGTTATTCGATAACGTTTTATTCGTATCTGCTCGGTTCCTATTTAGTCTCTTGTCGTTGGCCGGCGCGCGAGGTCCTCGAACGAGGTTCGATAAAATCCATAAAGAAAACAGAACGAAGAAGGGGTCTCATACGGCAATCACGTCAGTCACGTCGATCCCTGACTGGACGGGGCAACAGTTTTATGAAGTCATCTTCTAGGAAAGAAAGGAATACGTCCATTCCTGCCCGTCACCCGTTGGCAGCGGCAGTATTATTTTAAGGCCGGTTTTAAGCGTGCCGCGCGACTCACCCGACTGACCTGGGGGTAGCTACATGGATACAGAACTCCATGCGAGGATGCAGCTCGTATGTCTGTACACCGTATCAGCCTCTGGTTATTTTCTTCCGCAAGTCACTCGACAGCCAGATCTGTTTTCGAAAAATCTCTTCTCGGATTTTCGACACTTCTGGTAATTCTTTTCCAGTGGCGCCGCTACGGCGACTTACATAAACTACAGAATAAAGTTAAAATTGTATTTACTGTTTGTGGGAGAAGAATATTCTCATGTTACAAAATTATTTTGAAATTACCGATTTGTCGTACAAAAACAAAATTCTTGGAGTTAACATTCTCACTCTTGGTGGTTAACATTTTAAATTTTCAGGAGTTACGTTACAAAACTACCTTGAAATTGGTCATACAGGAAACAAAATTCTTGGAGTGCTGATGGTTAACCCCTTAGCTACTTTGCTTGGTGTCCATAGTTACATACAGTGGACAAAATTTTTATAATATTATGATTTATTTTCAAAAGTTCGTTTAATTTATACCTAAATATATGTTAGTAGCATGCCAAAATCAACAATGCATTTAAACAGACTCGTGTGTAATTGCTAACCATTGTGAATGAATATTTGTGATACAACAATATGTCACTATTTTTCTGTAAGACATTTTTTAACAATTTCTATGAACTTTTTAATCCAGTTCACCCTACACGCTTTCAGTAGGGATGGAATAAAAGAATTGTAGAAATTACTGTGAAACGTTTGTACAATGACATAACAAGAATTTATAAACAATTTATACTTCGTGCTTTGGATCGTGGCTCAAGTCAAATATGAATCTTTCACCACTCTCCACGTCTGTAACATTTTTCGCTAATTAGCATTTTAAGATATCGAAATGGTTTACCTTTATTAAGAATATTGTCAACAAATTCCAATTTACGTACTGTTTTTACAATCCAATTCCTTTGTTTGTTTTATTCGTAAATTAGAATACATTCGCGTAATTTTTCTATCGACAAAAGCTAGTTCCACAAACGAATCTAAAATTTCTTGAACCCGTTATTCGCCTAAGTAAAAGATTAAATAATAATAATTCAATTTCTATGTACGTTCTATTTCTAAATTAGAATATGTTTGCGTAATTTTTAAATCGATGAGAACTACTTTATGAAAGAATCTAAAATTTGTTCGATTCCTTGTTTGCTTGAATAAAAATTAATAAAAATAATAAAATAAATAAAATTTGTCGAACTCTAGTTTTAGAGCGACGATCGTTGAATTGTTATGTCGCCTGCGTTTGAAGAAAACAATCGTTTCCAATGAAGATAATGTCTTCGAATTACAGGGGTTCCGGCGACAAAAGGGCGGCCCATGTGAAGAGACCCATGAACGCGTTTATGGTGTGGGCCCAAGCAGCAAGACGAATTCTGGCCGATCAATATCCTCAGCTTCACAACGCCGAGCTTTCGAAGACCCTCGGGAAACTTTGGCGGTGAGTTGTTTGCAAATTTCATTTTGCGAAGGTAAATACACCGATAACTGGCAATCTTAACCTCCTTTACACAATCGCGTTTATAATATTTCTCCCCACATAGTCAACGCCGAAATCGTGCGTCGGCCATTTTGATGTATCGTATAAATCATCATAGCTTATGTTTTTATTGCATACATGGCAATCATCATTCAGTATCATGTACACTGTGAACGCAGTAACACTTTTACAATAAAAAAAGTATAATACCACTGAATGGAATCGATCCCAGAATCTTAGATTTATCAGTCAGGAATTTTTCTTTACCAACGCCACTTCGGTACTTAATGTCAATACAAATTTTTATGGGAGATTCTAGAGGCCAAAATAAGATGAAAATCAAGAATACCAATTTGTTGATGGAGGCTCCGTTAAAAAGTTATTAACAATTAAGTTAAAAAATTTCAAATTGATCTGGAAAAATTATTGTTGGTTGCGGGGGTCAATTACAATCATTTTTGGTCATTACACACAATCCCGAAATTCTACGCATTTTCGAGAAAAAAAATCGAGAAGTGAAATTTTTCGACGGAAAAAAAAATTTCCAATAGTTCTGGAAAAATTATTTTCTGTTGTGGGGGTCAATTATAATCATTTTTGGTGAATAGACATACCCCTGAAATCCTACGCATTTTCGAGAAAAAAATTCGAAACGGTGTGAAATTTTTCGACGGAAAAAAAATATTCAAATCGTTTGGGAAAAATTATTTTTGATTGCGGGGGTCAATTACAATCATTTTTGGCCATTACACATAACCCCGAAATCCTATGCATTTTCGAGAAAAAAAATCCAGTAGGTGCTGAAATTTTTCGACGGAAAAAAAAATTTCAAATCGTTTTGGAAAAATTATTTTCGGTTACGGGGGTCTATTACAATCATTTATGGTGAATAGACATACCACCGAAATCCTGCGTGTTTTCGAGAAAAAAATTCAGTACGTGCGGAACTTTAAAGGTTAATAACTTTTTAAGAAAGTCTCCATCAACAAATTGGTATTCTTGATTTTCGTCTTATTTTGGCCTGTAGAATCTCCCATTAAAACTTTATACGTGTTCGTTTAATTTCAACTTTCTCCCATAAACAATGATGTTACGAATACTTATGGGATTAACTGTATGAAAATTTCACTGAAAAAACATAGTTCAAAAGTGATATTTCGTCTCATGCTGTTACTATCACAGTGCACATACGCAAATGTCCGTCTCAAAAGTAATAACTTAAAAAAAAAACAAGAATGTTGAGTTCTTGAAATGCAAAAACCTTCGCAAGTTTCAAATTCTACGATAACGTAGTTTTGATATTTTTTAAGCTTTCCAAAGCAGAACTTAAAATATGAGAGTCTGTAAATATTCTGGGCCTAACCTCATGGTGTGTAGAGAACCGACAAATTTTGTTTGCTTTCTATTAAACTGCAATTTTATCCCCGTCAATATCGAATAATTAATATCTGCCCGAACGATCAGGTATCGGGGACATTATTCTGGCCAGTTATTGATATATTTACCTCGCGCGAGGATCTGCGTCTCCGGATATCTGTTTCTGGCGCTGAGGCACCGTCCCCGATAAAATTAATCGACACCACGTGTCCCCGGAATCGTGGTCTGCGCGCAGTTATACAAGATCAGATAATGCCGATTCTCACGGACTCGCCATAGTGGCATCGAGCCATAAATCCCGACGAATCCCGGTTCTCTTTCTCCACCTTTCCCGCGACAATTCGATCGAGAAAACGAATCAGCTGTTTTCGTCAACGTCGACCGGAGCTGGCCCGATCCAGGCAACCACTTGTTCCTCGCCCGTTCTATTTTTACAGGCGAACGTATATCGCGGTTAGTCTTTTTTCCAGGCCCGTTACACACGTTCGCACACATTTTCACCACGTGGCGCCGAGCCGTGCACGTGGTACGATCATGCCCGGTTGACAACCGCGCGGGACCCTTCTTCGGGGATTTTTTCCTTTCGCGCGGCAAAACCGGAAGCCAACGTGGCCGCGTACGCGCCGAATATCCAGCGACGCGGAACGCTTATCCGATCGATCGACGTCGACACGGACGAGAGGAAATCCGCACGAGAAAGTCGCGGGGACCGGTATCGCGGAACGTCGAACGACTCGAGGAAGATATTCCGTTTCTTGGTCGAGGCTAACGAGATGCCCCGGTGGGTCCTCCGACCGAGGATCATAGGACGTGCCGACAAGGACTCCCGCGGCGAATCATTTTACAATACCGCTCGATCGCGATTACCGATCGACGATCGAACCGTCCCGCCGGTCCGCTCTCGGATCTTGCTCTTTAACGTCAAAATAGAGTATCGCGGTACTCCTCGCCGAACTAAATCGTTTCTGATGCGTAATGGGACTGACTGGCGATCGGACGAGGAGACACCAACTACCCGTTAACGAAATCTTGATTAGTCACGAATCGGAGATCCGCTGATCGGAAGGACAATAAATTAGTATGTTTTTCAATTCTTTCTGATATCCACGATCCAAAGGTTTCGGGAAACCTGGCTGTCGATTCTTGAATTTTAGCTTCTAAAAAGTAATTATTTAACACTTTTCGAAATAGACCCTAATTAACACCGGCTACCGGGGCCAACATACCATCCCGACGGTTCACAGAGTTTCTTCCGGGCTTCCAATGAAAACACGCCCTATTTGTTCGATGCTTTCGAATCTGTGCGTGTTGTTAACCCTTTGAGGATTTGCACGATTGTAGATTTGGTCATCCGGTTCGAGTAAATGTGGCATTATAGGGGCAACTGCTCGATAGTTTTTTAAATATTCATGATCAGAGGTTTATTATCGTCTTAATTACAAATTTGTTTCAAATAATTACCGATTACTGACGTGGTCTACGGGCAACATCCAAGGATTCCTATTTATGTAGCATTAAATGTGGTGGACATTATTTAATGTTAAGATTACGCGAGCTCTATGTTGAGTCATTAATCTGAATTGTGGTCCTAGTTATAAGATAGTTTGTATGTTTAGGTTTATTGTACCCCTTTGTATATAGAATGCACTGTTTTGTTGGTTGGAGCTGTGGAACACCAAACAGGTGCAGCATACATCAATATTGGTCTCAGGATGGTTGTATATATCAATTTTTTGTTTTTGATTTGTATCGTCGAATTTTGTACTATAAGTGAGTATATTTTCTTTAGAACCTCCTCAGTACCTCTGCAATATTGTTTCTGTAGGTTAGTTTAGAGTCTAGGTGAGCCCCAAAGTATTTCACACTCTTTATTGGTGAAGTCCTTGTGTCATATACTGTTATTAACACAAGTATTTTACTGTATTTTTTCTTTTTACTAAAGATTATGATTTCTGGTTTTTGTCCAGGTGTATGTTTATTTCCCATTTATCATAGTATTTCTCTAGACTGTTTGCTTTGCTGCTACTATTGTATTAAAATAGTTGGCATACATGACAGTATCATCAAAAAGTGCAATTTTAATTTTCATAAATTTTAAATGTGGTCCTAATACAAATCCCTGGGGAACACCTGCTTTAATCTCCTTTTTGATGGAACCAGCTACATATTTGAATACCTTCCTTTCCACCATGTTTGAACGAATCAGTTTTACCAAGTTAGCACAAGTATATACTCAATGTATGAAAAAATGGCGTCGTATCAGTTTAAAAAACGACTAAAATTACAAGAAACAACAACACTGCATTGTATATTTATAATCGTTTCTATGGCACAATAAACGTTCGTTACAACAAAAAAAAAATAAATGAAGAAATCCAAGGAGTTCGAGTCCCGTCCGTACTTAAATAGTTCTCTTTTCAATCTCACTTTTATTTTGCATTAATTTTTCGCCCACGAAAACACATGATTTTAAATAAATTGTAAATAAAATTTCTTAATAACAAAAATTTATTTTCTACGTTTCTTATACTAGAATTTCCAAAATATTAAGACTATTGTGCGAGAAGAATATATTAAACCTTCCTCCACAGTGTCTGAAAACAAACGAAACGTAATGAGAAAACCATTCGTCGCGGAATAAATATAAGAAAGTACTTACTTATTGTTGATTACAGTTACTTATCGTAGAAACATGAAAAATTAATACAAAATAAAAAATAGATTGAAAAAATGATTATTAATTACATGATTAATTAAAGCTTTGATCATGAATATTTCAAAAACTATTGAATAGTTGTCCCTATAATGCTACACTTTCTTGAACCGGATGACTAAATCTACAAACGTGTAAAATTTCAATTAAATCAATGACTCGAAGAGACGATAATAGTTGGTTATGTTTCATTTGGATGCACTTCACAGTAAAACGTTATGTTTATTATTTTAATTATTATTTTATGGTAGTTATTATTCTTATTTAAAATTTTCAAGGATTGACCTCCAACCTGGACAATCAAAATATTCTGAAACTTGGGGGATTAATAGGGCACACGTAGCTAATACACATATGCATTACGCAATACATATATTTTTACTGTGAAAATTTACTTCAAGGTGTGAAAATATTTTTTTATTTTATTGTTATTTATGTATTCATAAGTTATTTATTATTATTACATTAAGTTATTTTTATTGTTATTATTGTATTCACAAAGTGCACAAGGTAGAAAAAAGGTTTCCACACAAAAGTTCTTTGAAGTAGATCTGTCATTAAATGTTATTTCACGTAGAAGTCACTGATTCGAAAATTTAAAAACAATATAAATAATGGTTTTCTAGTATAAATAAAACATTTGGAACAAATTGAGCATTCGACCCCTTCTAACTATTTATGAAGGTTATTTATATTAATAACCGAGGTCTCTCAAAGTGGTTTCAATACTTTGAACCAGATAATAAGAAACCCTAAGAAACCCTCAAAGGTTTGAAAGTTTTAGAATTTCACTCTGAAATTCTAAAATTATTATACACAAATAACACCAAAGCTGTTCGTTCAGCTGGCAATTTTAATTTCATTTTATAAT